GCCACCACCACCCTCGAAAGCCCTCATAAAGTTCAGTTTAAAGAAGGTACAGAAGAGGAAGGCGTTGAGAGAAGGTGATCCGTGAGGTGAGCGGAGAGAGCCAGCCGCTCCCCTTCCCCACAGGGAACCCGCCGAGGCCTCCCCACAGGCCCGAGGGAGACGCCGCGCCCACCCCGCGCTCTGCCGCTCCCCACAGGCCAGGGCCGGTGGGAGGCGAGCCCCACGGCCTCACCGGCACCCTACTGCTAACCCCCGGCCCGGTCCCGGTCCCACTTACCCTCACCACCCGCTGCTGTGGAGCCGAGACGGAGCTCCAGCCGGGCCAGGGCGCCCGCGCCGCTCGCCGTTTGAATATCACCGACGCCCTAAGAGCCCGCTCCCCATTGGCCAGAGCGCCTAACGGGGTGGGGGAAGAAGCGAGCGCTGATTGGCCGGCGGAAGGAAAAACAGCGGAGCCCGCGTGCCTATTGGTGGGGAGTCGTGGTTCTGTCCCTCCCCCTTCCCCCCTCCCCGCGCCTCATGGGGATGCTCGAGCCGCGCCCCGCGGCGGGGTTGTGCGCAGGCGCGAGGGGGCGGGCGCGCGGCGGGGCCGTTAGTTGCCTCAGCCGCTGAGGGGGGAGCGGGGTTCCTGCCCGGCTCGGAGCTGAGGGGAGGGAGAGCAAGGGCTTCCTTCGGTGGTTTTTCCCGGTGTGGCGGTGGCTTCTCTTCCCTTTGTGGAGCGAGGGGAAGTTCTAGCCGGAGAGTTGCTCAGAGGCGGCCGCAGCGGTGCCTAGTTCCCCGCCGCTCTGGGGCTCTGGCGCGGTTCCCGCCGTTATTCCCCATCCCCACAGGGAGGGAAAGGGAAAGCGTGAGCTTCCCGCCTTCAGTTCTCGATTACCAACGTGCAAAACACAGAAAAGAGATAACGCGAACTTCCTGAAAATATCTCTGAATATATTTTCTTCTTTAGGCGGTGACTGATTATTTTTTGAAGCTTAACTTAGATCTAACAGAGCAGCGGGACGGTGTGCCCTGGCCGGCTCTTTTAAGATTACGTCTTTCCTCTACTTTTTTCTCAGACGGATTCCTCATAAGCGGATCCCCTATCTGCAGCATTGCCTAAGGCTGCTAAAAGCAGCTCTTTCTCTGAGCTGTCCCTTTCTTCTTGGATTATAGTAATGCACATGCACTAAGTAGAGTGGTGCAGCCTCTCAGTTGGCATTCTGGCTGTATCTATTAATCACTATGTTCTTTATAGCGATATGGTTCTTCTGATGTTCATAATATTTTTTAGGCTTGTTAACATACTATAAAATACAGTTAGGCATGTATATATACACCTTATTAATCTGATAAATTAATAATCATTAGCTTTCCACAGACACCACATGTGATATGATACCTAAACTGGTCTTTCATTGAAATTTATCTTACTCGTATTTATGCATCTAGAATTTAAGTATCTCATCTGGTCATAAAGCTCACTCTATGATGAAGGAAAAGAGGCATTTCAAGAGACAAACTCAGTCCAAACACTTGTTTTAAAATGTAATGGATCGTTCCATGGAGGTGCCTGTTTTTCTCTAATAAAGTATAGAGCAATTCTAACTTCCAGCTAAGATTAAGTGAGATGATACTTTTTTCTGCGTTGCCTCATTCCTCCTTGCAAGTACGCGCTTTTTTTTGTGGCTTTGATGGTTTTGTTGCTGCGTTGAGGTTCTTGTGTTCCAGCAGAGTATGAATCTAGTGAACACTTAAAGATGCAGCACAACTTGCATGAATTTTCTCTGCATCTGTCTTCACTTGAGGGATATACGTTATTTTATTAGCAGTTTTTATGGGGCTGAAGGAGAAGAAAGTTGTATTGTTTGAGTGAGTGAATAATGCTGTAAGGAGTTATTTGATTTCTGTACCTGTGATGAGAAACTGGGATACCGTGTAGAATCCTGGCAAAACCAAAACAAATAGGAAAGACAGGGTAGACCTATGAAAAAAGCAGCAAAGAGAAAAAAGTATCAGAGAAAGAAAGGCTGTAAAATCCATAGAGAAAATAAAGGAACCTTCATTTAGTATTCTTCAATAAAATATAAAGTAGTTGCGGTGTGTGGAAGGTATATACCAAAAAGTATACCAATCCAAGTCTCCACCTAAAGGTGATTCCAGTTTGAATGACAGAGGTGTCATGTCAATCACAAAAAAAAAATCACAAAAAGCAAGGGCAAGATTGTTGGAAATGGGATTGTTTGGATAATAGTATTGCAAATCCAAATGTAACAAAGGTACAAGTGAGTCATGAAGGATTTTTGAAATGTTGATGAAATCTTTGTACCACACTGTGGTGTTTTCTGCAAATGGACCTCAGAGAAAGGCCTTCCTCTTCTAGCTGAAAATTTGGCAGCCACTAACACATCCTCTGAACTTGGTATTTGAGGTTTATGAAGGGTTGATCTAAAAGAGGAGAGATGGTAGCTCATTGGTTACAACTAATGGCAGGCATTCGTGAAAAGTGCATTTGGAGAAAGCTCTGGGGTGTATTTCATGTACTCCATTTACTGAGATGTTCCTGACTGCTGGTGCGTTGCTACAACCTACGGATGTCCGTGAGAGAAGCAGCAAACAAACATTCTAGATGCCAGAGTCACCTCAGCAACCGAGAAGTTGTTCTGAAAATATTCAATGGGTAATTAATAAACTACTAAGATTTTCAGCAGCAAGAGTACTCACCAGCTGTCGAGAATTCCCACTCCTCCGAGGTGTTATGTTTCCATGACACACTGCTTTTAATGAAGAGAAATAGAGAGCAATAGTTATTTATATCAAAGGATATTGTCCCGTGGCATTTCTTTACAGACCTAAAGAGGTTAATATAAAACGACCACCCAAAAACCTGAGACAAAGATGGTGTTAAGGCTGCAGGGAAATGACTGGGCTGTTGACTAGGTCCGGGGCTGAGGGGACATGGAAATCTGGTGAGCGTGACGTGAGACACTGCTGAACATTAATCACAGAATCTTCTAGGTTGGAAGGGACCTTAAAGATCATCTTGTCCAACCGTCAACCTAACTGACAAAAATAGACACCCACACAACAAACAAGGAGCATCATCACTAAACCATACCTCCCAGCACTACATCAACCCGTCTTTTGAACACCTCCAGGGATGGGGCCTCGACCACCTCCCTGGGCAGCCCATTCCAATGGCTGAGAACCCTTTCTGTGAAAAAATTTTTCCTAATATCCAGCCTGAACCTCCCCTGGTGCAACTTGAGGCCATTAAATAACTGTGTGAGAAGCTGATGAAAGCTACAGGTCGTGCTGTGGAAGGTTCTCACATGGTTATGGAGGCGTTATGTGAGGAACAGCCAAACTTCACAGGTATTTGAAGGGGAGTATTTTGGAAAGAGCATCTTTTGGGGAGTACAATTGTACAACTCCCAAGAGCACCTACTTAACCACATCGTGAGATCACTTAGGTAATGGTGCCAGATTTACCAGATTTGAATACAGATTTGTCAAAACTGGGACCAACAGAGAAAAAAGAATTAGAGGCAGGTTCTGGGAGGAGTCTGGGACAGAGAAAGGGAGGTGCAAGGGCAGCGAAAAAGAGCTGAGAAATGGGAAAAGAGGTGATAAGTGCTGGAAAGATAGGCGTATGTTTTCTTGCTTTTCCCAGAAGGCTTGTAGTACAATATGTTATATTTAGCATAACTCTGATCATTAGCAGAGCTACTACGTGAAAATTTCTAAACTGTGCTAAGAAGAGATCAGGCTGGATAATCCAATGGTCCTTTCCACCTTGAACTCCATGAATCCACAAGACTCGAGAGAGACATATCCTTACTGTTCAAGGATCGATCAGCATTCGTTATCACTTGGAAAGGCTGGGTCTCGTCTTACAAAGTTTCTTTCACAGCATCTGCATCTGCTTTTTGGGGAACTGGGGAAATAATTTCTGATGAATCTTTGCAGCCCTTGTATAAATCTGTTTCTTGTTCTCCCACTTTCTGTTCTTTGGATTTCTTTGTTCTTCCCTTTCTGCTTTGCTGCTTAAGGAACACTGGTCTCAAATAATATTCAAAATCCTTCAAACAAGAGTTGCTTAATCTGGATATAAACCTCTGGTATTTGCCAAAATCCAGCTAGCAGTTGCACAAGAGAGAGCTATGGAGAAGACGGGGTTAATTATACTTCTTTTACAATAAGGACACATCTTTACTCATGTAGTGGTGCAATGTCTGATTGTTCATCATTACAAATTGAGATGACTGCTAGCGTTAAGCCTTTGGTTGCTACTGAAAAAAAAAAAACCAACAAAAAAAAACAACCAAAAAAACCCCACCAAACCAGGAGGGCAGTGTTGATTTTTACTTCCTCTGAGCTCTCTAAAAGGTAGGTAGCCAGACAAAGCTAGTGATCGTGTTCCCTTTGCCACCAGCAAAGGGGAGTCCATCTAGCCCTATGTCTTTCCAGTCCACAGATTTGGTGAGGGACCATCTGGAGTTGTCTTCCATCCTCTCAGCTGGCTGTTGAGGGAATACCTGCAGCAATGTTAGTCTGAATGTGTAACTTGCACTCACTTAAATAAGGTAAAGTGAATTCTTCTGTAAATGCTTCCTTCCACAAGCAATACCATTTCTCCTCATCCTGTCCTCTGCTGTATCTCCTACCCTAATTTGTTACTAGCTTCCTGCCTTCAGGGATATACTTTTTCACTGGTCAATCTTTATCTTGTTTTTAAGTTAAAAAACTGAATGGCTTTAATTCCAAACCAGGAGGGCAGTGTTGATTTTTACTTCCTCTGAGCTCTCTAAAAGGTAGGTAGCCAGACAAAGCTAGTGATCGTGTTCCCTTTGCCACCAGCAAAGGGGAGTCCATCTAGCCCTATGTCTTTCCAGTCCACAGATTTGGTGAGGGACCATCTGGAGTTGTCTTCCATCCTCTCAGCTGGCTGTTGAGGGAATACCTGCAGCAATGTTAGTCTGAATTTTAAGTTAAAAAACTGAATGGCTTTAATTCAGCTGATCATCCGCCCTCCAGTTTTTAGTTTACTCCCCTTGGAAGTAAGAAGGCAGCCTGTATATCTCAATGATGAGCTGCTACCTAGGCCAAACATCCTTTTTTCATCCTTTTAGTGCCTTTTCATTTTCAGGTGCTTTTCTCTGCATCCCTACCTCATCAGAATACCTTGGAAATACCCGAGAATTTTGTTTTCAGCACCTGTGTAAGACTGAGAAGTATTATTCACACCTTATGTTGGAAAACTAAGGCACGGCAAAGTGAGCCTGAAGTCATACATGATGCCCAAAACAGATTGAGGGTTCAACCCCAGAGATTGTGATAACAATTCCAGCACATTTAGAGCTTTCTCATTTG